GGCTTCCAGGGCCTCTCTGAGGGCTCAGGGCGGTGGGCACGCGGGAGAGCCGGGTCTGCCTGCACAGCCGGGGCTGCTATTTAATAAACATGTCAGACAGACAGAGTGACAGGAGGGCAAAGGGGAGAGGCGAGCCCGCAGAAAAGGCCCGCAGCCCACACTGGGGGGAAGCCTGCTGCTGGTTACGGGAAAGGCAGCGCTTCAAACACATCTGTGATCTGAGGTCGGGGCCGGCCTGAAGCAGGCCAGGTAGGTGGCGGCTTGGAAGTTTCCATGAATGCGCTTTGCCTGTTGGTGGTGAACAGCCTGTTAGGAGTGCTGTCGACACACAATTACTGCTCAATGTGAGTGTCTTCTGTCTCGGTGTCATTGCCCTGAGACAAAACGTTTCCAGTCCCAGGGAGACTTCGGAGGCCCCTGCCCTTTAAATCAAGCAGTGACATCTTCTCGCTCGGCCCTATTTAATTAGCTGCGTCCAGCATGCTGCGACCCCGCGCCCTCCGTTTAACCTTCACTGATAAGTGCAGGTCAAGGGGCACGTAAGTTTGAATATAAAAATTAAACCAATTTTTCAAGGAACCTATATTTCCTTTTTAGCCAGAATTAACTGCCTAGTCAGTACATTGATTTGTTTCTTGAGACCACCTTCAATTGTAAAAAGTGTCAGACTAGACGATATACAATGTCCGGGACCTCAGGGCCATCTGTGCCAACATGAATTCAGAGTGAAACCACACTCTGTACTGAAGGGACAAAAATATTTTGACAGCCTTATTAGTATACAATGAAATGGAAACTGTGGAAAATATTCTAATGAAATACGTTACTACTGCACAATGAGGCTCACACAATAGCACACAGCTTTGCCGCTGCAACACTGAACTTTCCCACGCAACGTGTGACTCAACCCTTCATCCCCACAAGCTGCGTTGGTCCGCATTTCCCGAGGGCCTACTGTGTGCGGGCTCGCAGCGTCCTTCATGTAACCCTCAGACTTGTGAGTTATCTCTTTATCGAAGTTTATTCCTCATGCCCAGTCCGGAGGAAGACCCTCACATCCTAGCTACACTGCACATGAACTTGTGGTCGGTCACACCAACACCAGCCAACGCTTCGTACCTGAAAAGCAGGCAGGTCCAGAGCTGCAAAGCTGTTGAAGAAACGTAAACTCTGAATGGCCACCTGGACCGTGTTCTGAGAGTAACTCTCCTTGGGGCTGGCGGTGCTGGGGTCCGCGATGGTGCCGTGGAACAGGATGCAGTAGAGCATGTGCAGGACCCCCGCGAGGTCTGTGGCCTGAAGAGCCGCTGTCAGTCCTGTGAGGTCCTGGCGATTGCTGTCGAATATGCTGTACGACCTGACAAAGAAACATGCGCCTCTTTACCTCTACTCCCAGGATGGCAGCCTGTCTGCCGGTCGCGGGGAGCAGGACGAGCAGGCGCTGAGAGCAAACCATCTGAGCTGTTAACCGGGAGCAAGAGCCCTCGAGGCCTCCCTGCCGCTGTGCACACTGAGCACACGGGGCCAGGGCTGAGGTCGCCACCAGCCTCCGGTCTCCGAAGCCGGGAAGCCCTGGTCTGTTAGATTCCAGGTCTGGACAGAGTCCACGGCACTGCTGGGACCAGAGGCCAAAACCAGCATGGCCTCCTCAGGATGCACAAAGGGCACCCAGGGGAGGCAGCTCTCAGGCAAGCAGAGGCCTCACAACCCACGGCTGTGCTGGGACTCTGTGGTGGGCAGACATGGCAACCCCCTGGGGCAGTTTCACCATCAGGGCAGGGCAGGGTGTGGGGCCAGACTCCCAAACAAGCATCTGGATGAGTATCATGCAAACGACCAGGAAGTCGCATGTTGGGGAGCCAGAAGCACGTGCTGGGAAATGAACTCCTGGAGCCAACATGAAGCCAGGGCTTGCACACCCATCTCACCCCTCAGCTCGGGTCCCAGGAAGCACCGACTGACCAGGAACCTGCGGTGCTCGTGCCACGGCTGCCAATCATTCACTCCCCCTCCCCCCCGGGAAACGGCACCCAGATTGCCCCCCGAGGAGGCACCTCCAGACCTAGTGACTAGGCGACAGGCTTTAGGTCATACAAACGTGCTGGTGGCACGGGCAGGGGACTCCCAAGGACTTTGATGACCTCTTTTCCCCCTCTGTGCCTCCTTCTCTGACATCACATCTCGGATGAACTGAACACTGTTAAACGAGTACACAGCCTGCAATGTGACCTTGCACCATCGTGGAGAAGCTTTCTATCTTACGGGGCTCAGTGAGAACAGAAAGGTAAGTAATCGCATTGCTTTGCTCACGGGCACCTCAGAACCTTGCACGCCGTGAGTGTGTGTCCGTGGGCCCTTCCTCCCCCCACAGCCAGAGAGGTGGGGGTCAGACCCTGACGGGAGACGGAGCAGAGACTAATGCGTCTGAGTTTATTATATAGGTTCTAACAAGGGGTCTGTGTTTGTTTAGCACTGACTGCCTCTGAGAGCCAGTGACAAGTCAGAAGACATTTCTGCCTGAAGCCTCGGGGATGAGTGACATTACGCTGCTGAAAGTCCTGCTGCTGTGAACGAGAAGGCTGCCCCCCGCTCCCATGCCCCCCTTACTGCTGGCGCTGGTTTTAAAGGGACAGTCAGCACACCCACATGCAGGTATTCAGGAATATGGCTTTGACATTTAAGGCGCCTTAATACCTAGTCTTTCCAAGCATTTATCAGATGACATGAATTCACTGCTATTACTTTTTCAAAAGAGTAAGTATAAGAAAAAAAAGTCAGTAAAGTCATCAGAATACATCCCCCTCTCCCTACCCTACTCCACTATTGAGGGAAATGCAATCATAGCTCATAAAGAAACACACCCCAAGATCTTCGGCAACATTCTCCTGATGGAGCGAAAATGGTCCTTCAGAAAAATCAATCGAGTGAGCGTCCAAGAACTCGGACTGAATGGAGACGGCTCAAGGCACACACGTGTCACTGCTCCATGGAGAAGACCTTTCCCTGCAGGGCGGGGGGCGGGGCGGGTGCTGCACGGGCATCACAGCCTAGTGCAGTCCTGAGGGGGCTCGAGAGAATGTTTACTTTTGATTTAGTCTGAAATGCAGATCATTTGTCCACGAACAGGCCACTGGCTTCTGTTGGTCTTAACTGTCAGTTATAATCACTTTAAGCCTGAATGTTTATAATAAAACAGGTAAAAGGCCTCATTCATGTCAGGCATAAAGTTTTCTTTTAAAAATACATGGAAAACCTAAAAAATCAGATCTGAAATGTTGTATATTACACTCTGAGATCTTCTCAATTTTATCAGATTCTATTTTATTTTTGTTGTTGTTAATATTCACCTGAGGACATTTTTCCATTGATTTTTAGAGACAGTGGAAGGGAGGGGTAGGGACAGAGAGAAACATCGATGTGAAAGAAACACATCGATTGGTCGCCCCTCCTGTATGCTCCCAACCCGGGCCAGGGATCGAGCCGACAATGGAGGCATGTGCCCTTGACTGGAATCGAACCCAGGACCCTTCAGTCCATGGGCCGACGCTCTATCCACTGAGCCACACCAGCTAGGGCTGGATTGAAAGTGTTTTTGTTTGGTCTCTAGGACTAGAGGTCTTAGTGGCATATTCATGTCTGCTCATTAGAAAGCTAAATCCAATTAGGAAAACTATCAAACCCCCTGAACAGCACCTGAAACCCGACTTTGCCTTAAAGAAGAGCATGCGGGGCAACAGCTGCGTCACCTATTTGGGGGGTGAGGGCACCCCCCAAACCTGGATGTTAAACCACGTCTGTCCCAGGCCTTGCTGGGCCCCCACGCGCAGCTGGGACAGCCCCTCCCCGTCGGCTGCTGGCCTGCTTGCTGTCGTCCCCTGGTCCCTGGATCCCTGGCTTGCTGACATCCACCCTCCTCTCCTTCAGGGCGGGGACCTTCTGGACCGCTCTTCTCGCTTCTTGGATTTGGGCCTGTTCACTCCTTTGGTCCTGGAACCCGAGGCATCTGTGTGACCCTCCCATTGAGCCCGGACCCCAGAGAACTCCCCTCGGAGGTGGCCAGCTGGGGGTGGTGGGTGAAGTCACTGATTCTCCCAACGATGAATATGAGCTTCTCTGCTCCAGGAGAAGTGAGCTGCGGCTTCGGGCGCTTAGTACCGGGGTTTTGTGGAAAGTGAACCGTACGCTCTGAGGAGGTCGGAGGAAGGAGCGGAGGGTGCTGGCAGGTGCGGTCCTGGTTGGGGAGCCTCAGGGCAGGGCTGCCTCTCGGTGGGCATCTGTACCTCTGTAGCTTCAGCTTCCTCATCGTCCCTTCAACAGCCACGGGCTCTGGGCTGGTTTTGCCTGGTTCTGCCGATATTTGGGGCCTCTCTCATCTTTGGGGTTTGGCCGTGAGGCTGAAGGAGCTCCACTAAAGGCTCCGCCGTCCTGCCAAAGAAGGCACCTGCTCCCACTGGGCGAGTAACCGAGGAAACGGTCACGTGGGGGCTGCCTGGTGACGCCCCCCCACCCTCCCACCCTGTCTACACAGAGTAAACAGGAGCCCCCCTACTTTTAATAATCAGGTGATGCCACTCGCCTGCTTCATCTCCTCCGCTGGCTCCCCATCCCACTCGGAAAAAACCCAAACGTCTGATCTGTCCTCGTCTGGGCCCTCTCTCCTGACTCCCTCTCTGCGCCTCCTTTCCTGCGCACCAGGTCGGGCGCTGCCTCCTGTGTCTGGGACGCCCAACTGCAGACATGGGGGCGCCAGCAGCCCCCTCTCCTGCTCTCGGGAGCCCGGTGCCCAGGGTTTTCCCTGACTGACTCCATCTCAGCTTCAGGGTCGCCTCCCAGGGGGGCCGCCCCTGCCCACTCCACCTACAGAACAAACCGCTGTCGGTAGCTCACACCTTCCTTGTACATTTATCGTCTCATTGGAACCTCCTAACAACCTGGGAGGCACTAACATCACCACTACATCCATCTCAAAACCCAGCTAAAGCCAGTCCTCTAGTCTTCACGCTTTTCTGCTTGATGTCGTTTTCTTCTTCGTTTACTCCTTTCTCAAGGCCACATGTTGCAGCCCCTCCTGTCTTTCAAGGCCCAGATTGAACTTTAGTTGCTCCAGAAAACAGTTCATTCCTTCAGCTAAGCTGACCTCTCCCCTCTGAACTCCGTCAGCGATTCTGCTCTAACTGGGCAGTGTGCTCGGCCCGTGTGCCCCAGCCTCCGCAGCGCGCTCCGTCTCACACCACGGTCTCCGTCTATGTAACTTCTTCCCCTTTCTAGCTTACAAGGTCCTGAGGACAGGAGAGATGTCTGAGTCATTTCTGGGTTCTCCACGCCTAGCTCAGGGCCTGGCACAGAGAAGTGCTACATAAATATTTATTTAATGAATGAATGAATAATTCAGGCAGGCGGGGGGACAGTTTACCTTTGCCTGAACAAGTGGCTTTCAAGCACCCTTAACACTCGAGAGGCACTCATTTGTCCCCACAGAATGAACGGGCTGACGTAGAGATCACCCCTATCTGTTTATGACAGGTTTCCAGGGACCCTGGGTAGAACCCACTTTGTTACTGTAGTTGATGGATATGAAGATGGAAACCACAAATACACGTAACGACAAACATCTTTTTGTGTGAAAATATTCCAGAGTTCAGCACAGTCTTCACCAGCAATTAGAACCGGCCGGGAGCAGGGCTGTGCCTCCGGACCGAGGACCCACTGCCCCCGCCCCTCGCTGTGGAGCCCCTGCCGCTGAGTCTGGAAAGCCTGCTGACTGAGTGGAGGCCGTGTTGGCCGCAATTCACAGTCGCTCAGGACTGTTCTGGTCCTGCCAGCCGGGCTCAGGAGCCAGCACCTGAGGGCCTCAGTGAGCACTGCTGGGGTCTGAAAACCATCCTTTTCTCTTGGACCGAGAATGGAAAGTTGATAACAGTGAAGGCCAAAGAAATAGGCGCTTCTGGAAGCCCTCTTCCAGACGCTGGGTTTTGTTAAGTGACAAAGAAGGGCAGTTTGTGAACAACTCACTGGTGGAATTCTGGCGTAGCCCTCACATAACACAGTCCTTTTACTAGAAGATCACAATCTCAACCTCTACTTCAACGCAAGCTCATTGTTCAGCACCAAGCAGTGCTTTTCTCCGACCCTGGAGCCAGGATTAGCCGTGCACATTCTGACACCCAAGTGGTCTCCCCGAGAGCCAGGTAGAAATTAGGAGATTAAGGGCACAATGGCAGCAGGCTCAGGCCCACCTGCTAATCGCCCTCCCACAGGCGGCCACCAGCAGTCCCAGGCCTGTGCTCTCATGCGGGCACTTAATTATCTCAGGGCGGGCGCCGTGCAGGAGGCAGGCTCGGGGCCTCTGGCTCCTCT